ATTACAACAGGACAAGATTCATGGGAAAGACAGTAATGCTAAGAGAAACTGAAGGCAGCAGGGAAAGATGAAAAAGTAACATGAGATAGATGGACTTAGTGAAGGAAGCCATGATCTTTAGTTTGCAACACCTGGGCAGGATTATTAGGACCTTTTGGAGGTAATTAAATCATAGAATCACCATAGGTTGGAAACAACTTGATGATACATAATGGTACAGATTTAAGTGATCATATCCTGGACCTTTTCCATATGTAATAATAGAATTATACAGTTGGAGGGGGTCTTGTTGGTCATCTATTCCTGTCTTGGCTTAGTGCAGCAAAACCAGAACCGAGTCATCCTCAAGAGATAGGTGGAGATGGCTGCCCAACCGCTGCATGAAGACTTTCAACAAGAGACTGGTCACCATATGCCTAGGATTAACTGATTCATTTCACATAATTGTGCTTTTATGCTGCCTTTCCCCCAGCAATGGAACTCAAGGTGGTAACTGGTTCCAGTGTCAAACTGATGTTGGAAGTGTTCCTCTTGTTGGAAGGTGAACCCGTTAATCTTAAGATTTAGTGTCTATGCACGTTTTGTTCTTTAACTCAGGAAAACAACATTTACTTTAGCTGAGTCCTCTTCCCATGCAATGGCGTGGGAACTATTTCATAATTAAAAAGTTGGTATGCTGTTTAGCGAATATGTATCAATGCATGGAGATATAATTCTATCCAGACACATCTGATCTTGCTTGGTTTTAGAAGCTATGCATGATCTAGCCTGGTTAATACTTGGATAGGAATACCAAGAATCACCAGGTCAGCCTTGGAAAGAGTCTTACTTGGAAGCACTGGAAAAATGCTGCCAGTCAGAGCTGACAGTACTGGAGAAGGACCCATAGCCTGGCTCAGTATATGGCAGCTTATATTCATATCATTGCCTCCCCCCAATCCTCTATACCAGTGGTCCCCAACCTTGGGCCTCCAGATGTTCTTGGACTACAACTCCCAGAAGCCTTCACCAACACCTCTGCTGGCCAGGATGTCTTGGAGTTGAAGACCGAGAACATCTGGAGGCCCAAGGTTGGGGACCACTGCTCTATACTATTGAGAGGCTGGTGTGACTGCAGTGGCCTTGTGGGTGAGGTCAGTTGTAAGGATCTATTGCACCCAGATGGCACATTTTGCAAATGGAAAAAGGTTGACCTTGTTGCTTTCTTCATACATGTTTCTCACTGGCATAAGATCATACGTATTTCCCATTGGCATAAGGACAGCTCACTTTAAGAAGGATTCCGACAAATTGGAACAAGTTCAGTGGAGGGCAACAAGGATGATCAGGAGACTGGATGCCAAGCCCTCTGAGAAAAGACTGAAAGAACTGGGTGTGTTCAGCCTTAAGAAAAAAAGACTGAGAAGAGATATAATAGCACTCTTCAGATACTTAAAATATAGTCATACAGAGGAAGGGCAATATCTGTTCTTGATCATTCCAGGATGCAGGACATACAGTGGGGTCTCGACTTACGAACGGCTCGACATACGAACGTTTCGACTTACGAACCACTCTCATAGGAATATATGGACTCGACTTCCGAACTTAGATTCGAGCTACGAACTCTTTTTTCCCCCCCTTTTTTAAAAAGCTAAATCATCTTAGGTTAAAAGGAAAAAAGAAAAAATATCCCCCTCTAGTGGCAGAAGGCGGAATAGCAGCTTCCCATTAGTTTCTATGGACGAAAAGAGCAGATACGGATTAAATGGTTTTCAATGCATTCCTATGGGAAATGCAGATTCGACTTAAGAACTTTTCGACCTGAGAACTGCCTTCCAATACGGATTAAGTTCTTAAGTCGAGACCCCACTGTATAATAATGGGCTCAAATTATAGGAAGCCAGATTTCAGGAGCATATCAGTTAAAACATTCGGACTTTGAGAGCAGTATGACAAGGGAACCAGTTGCATCGAGAGGTGGTGAGCACTCCAGTACAGGGGACGTTCAAGACAACCCTCTGTCAGATCTGCTTTGATTTAGATTCCTGCACTGAGCAGGGGTTGGACTCCATGGCCTTAGAGGCCCCTTCCAGTTCCATTATTCTATGATTCTGCAATCCTATGATCTCACTTTAGGGCTTCCGTGGCTGTTGTTAGTTCATGAGAAATTGAAACACATTAAATAGATGTTTGGCCAAGTGGCACAAAAAAAAAATGCTTATATCACCAGAGTGTATTTATGGCTTTGCAAGACGCTCTGTTGGTTTCTTGCTGCAGGAGGCTTATACATCGACCCCTCGTGTATAAAACACCCCAGTGTTCGATAACATTTGCTAGATTTCAGATTTAGAGTCATGCCATTGCTAGAGCGTGTTGTGGGTCTGTGTGTACCAGGTCACAATGCCAGAACCAGTAAAGAAAGATAATTTTTATACATTTCATTCTCCAAATACCATATTCAGGAGGGAGGGGGGAAAAACCCTTTCAGTTATCCTCAGCCATGAGGGCTGAGAAAGAAAATGCTAGGAGAAATGTGAGTTGTATAAAATGCAGTGCACAGACGCCTTTTGTCATTTTTCTTTTCCTTAAAAAGAAATCAATGTTTTTTTCGCTCTGTTCTTTTGGTCGATCAGGCGGAAAGATGCCACCAACACATCTATTTGTTCAGTTCCTCTTAAAAGAGACCAAGCCCATCGTTGATACAGGACTGAGAAATAATTCCTGACAGTTATAACTGAAGCAGATAAACTGTTTTGCCAGCCACCAAATAATGCTGCAAAACCAAAAAGAACTCTTGCTTATTGTTGCCTGTGTTTTTATGCTTGTCAGATGGCTTAATAGCACATTATCTGTAACAAAGGCGCTCTGTATTATTCCTGTTGTCTGCCTCTGGTCATGCTTTTAACCTTGTTGCGTGCTGGGTCTTCGTTGACATGCTTTCCTTTTATTACTTATTACTCTGGCTGAGTATGAAACACAGGAGTGAAAGGGGTGTGTTGTGGTGAGTTAGGAAACACCATGGGATAATGGACTAAGAGAATCTGTTGAAGACAGGCAATTACTGTGGTAGGTCTCCCAAGATCAGATGAGAGTGGCTCTTAGATAATTTTGAAAAGTCACCTTCTACAACATTGCTGATATGTTTCTCTGGATCACGCAGTCTGGATATCAGAAGGAACAGAACAAGGAGGGACAGAGCCGCTTTGACTCCATCTCAAACACTTCCCCTCCACATATCTCTTAATTAGTTGGGAAGTCCTGGAGGATCAGGCTTGTTTATCTTTCCAGCTCCTAGCAAAACTATGGGCTATTCTGGGTGAAATTTCACACTATTGTGTCACCCGATAAGCACCTGATAAGCCATTCTTTAGAACTGTCCTCCTCTCTTCTGTCTCAAAACTTCATGTCAACTACAGGGCTTTAACGTCCAGCTGCCTCCTCCTTTCCCTCTTATCTATGTAAGTATGTTTCTTTGAAGGTGGCTGGATAGCTCAGTGGTTTAGGGTAGAACTGTCCTCCTTTCTTCCGTCTCAAAACTTCATGTCAACGACAGGGCTTTAATGTCCAGCTGCCTCCTCCTTTCCCTCTTACCTATGTAAGTATGTTTCTTGAAGTTGGCTGGATAGCTCAGTGGTTTAGGTATCTAGCTGCACAGCCAGAAGTTGCGAGTTCAATTCCCCACTGGACCTCACGCGAATAGAGCCAGCCTATGTGGCCTTGGACAAGCTGCATAGTCCCAGGGCACCCCTCAAATAAGGAAATGATACACCACTTCTGAGTACTCCTCTCTATATAGAAAATCCTGAAAAGGGTCACCAGATGTTAGAATTTACTTACAGCATGTTGTTGCTGTTGCTGCCTTGCTTGAAGAATAGATACGTGGTCCTGGAAGCTTGCACACTTTTTTCCCCTACTTCTGTGACTGGCCAAATAAAGGATTATGGAATTTGTTTTGTGGCCGGTATAGCTTATTACTATTTTTGTATGTTCTCTTCCATGTCTTTGAAAGACATAAAACTGAAGTCACCTTTGATTCCTCCCTCCTTTGTCAACAAGATGTCTTCCCCTTTTCATCAAGGTGTCTTCCATTTCTCTTTCAAGTCTCTTGTCAAAACTTGTGTCTTTATTGTAGTGTTTCCTCAACAGTCGCCCATCTCCTGCATTCGTGTTTGATGTTGTCACTGCCTTTCATCACCTCCGTTCTCTGACATCCTGCCCTCCTTCCAGTTGTCATGATTTAAAGTAGCTTGTTCACTCAGTCCCCTGAGCAGAAACTGCCTCATGTTTGTGTGTCCACTCAACATGTTACCAGCTTTCTTAACCACATACTCTACAGATGTGTGACTAGAGTTCAGTCCATCCCCAGCCATCATCACCATTGATCATGTGAGCTGTGCCTCACAAAAAGGCAACGTGTAACATTGCTGACACTAAATAGATAAGACCTTAATGATATTAAATGCTAAGAATTCTGAAACTTACTAGAACAGTGGTTCCCAACCTTGGGTCCCCAGATACTCTTGGACTAAAACTGCCAGAAGCCTTGGCCATCATTTCTGGGAATTGTAGTCCAAGAACATCTGGGGACCCAACGGTTGGAAGCACTGCATGAGATCAAGAGTAGGAAGTTGTGGCCCTCCAGGTGGACTGGACTACAGCTCCCATCAGTCTTTGCCAGCACAGCCAGTGGTGTGAGCTCATGAACATTCCCATCCAATCACCACCTTGGGGGTTTCACAAAATGGCTAATACCTCTCTCTGGTGTGCAGATGATAACACTTTGAATACTTAAGAATCTACCACTTGGAGAATGAATTTGCCATTGAGTATGTGAGTTCATTGGGGAAATATTTGCAATTCCCAGTGTGTAGTACTTTTTAAAAAATTGCAGTTTTAATCATGTCCCCGCCATTGTTCGCCATTCCTTCCAGGTTCATGTTGTTCCAGGTGTGTACTAATAAATCTGTCTCAGTGTATATATTTTTAAACACCTGTTTTTAATTTTGGTTTTCCCACAGGAGGCAACAATGGGAGAGTGTGGAAAGGAAGGCTCTAATATTCAAGTTACCTCAGGACAGAACAACTGTGACCAAACTGGGATTGGGGTTTCCCAGAGTTTGGTCACTCCTGCTGGCGTCCCCACAGGTACTTCAGCGGCGGCGTCCTTCTTCATAAGGTAGTTTTTCCTCTTTATGATTTGTAGAATAGCTCTCTGGTGTTCAGTGACTGAAGGTATGGTTTAGGTATCTGGCTAAGGAAGTTGGGAGTTCGATTCTTCACAGTGCCTCCTGTACAGACCCAACCTGTAAGTAGACCCCACCTGTGGCCTTGGGCAAGGTGCACAGTTCCAGAGGATTCCCCAGAAAATGGGAATGACAAACCAATTGTGAGTACGCTGTACCTAGAAAACTCTGAAAAGGGTTGCCATGAAATAGAATTGACTTGAGAGCACATGATGATGATGATGATGGTGACAATGGTTAAATGACTACAAGCATTACTCTTCAGCTTATGCCTCTTTAAGTTTTTGCTGTTTTTGAACCACTCAGTTAATACATTATTATATCTTTTTCAATTTCTGTAAATTACCCAGAATAGTACTTGGCACTATTGGGGCAGTAGATAGATAGATAGATCTCGAGGAGTTCAGGAGAGATCTATAGCACAATGTTACAACCAGAAATCCCCAGGTTTTATCTCTGATTGGTTAGGGAAATATACCTGCCTGAAACTCTGATAATATTAAGTTAGATTACCAATGTTCTGAACTGATATGAGGCAAACCAGTTAACCTTACAGAGACATGGGCATTACATGAGACAAGTATGGTGGTTGAAAGATGGGTAGTTTGATGAAGCCTTCTTTCTCTTAAATCTGTGGAAGCACGTATTTTAACAACAACAACAACAACAACAACAATAATAATAATAATAATAATAATAATAATAATGTGCCACCGAATCAATTCTGACTTACGTTTACACTTTTCAGAGTTTTACAGGTAGAGAATACTAAGAATTGGTTTACCATTTCCTTCTTCTGGGGGCACCTGGGACTGTGCACCTTGCCCAAGGTTACACAGGCTGGCTCCATTCACAAGAGGCACAGTGGAAATCAAACTCACAACCTCTGGCTCTGCAGCGAGATACCTAAATTACTGAACTATCCACAGGTCCCAAAATCCTCCAGGCAGCACAGCCACTGGCTTTTCTGGCTAGAGGATTCTCAGAAATGTAGTCCAAAAAGTAACTTTTCCAAGCTCTGCCAGCTTTTCTGGTACTCGGTGCAAGAGAGGTAGTGTCTAAATATGACAGGGCAACTGTAGTCCTGAAACAGCTGGATTTCCTTGTTATTTCCAGAAATCTCTCTATCTTTTTCTCACACTGATTCGATCTTTCTTTTAATACAGCACACAACAAACCGTTGAATAACTTGGACAGAATTTGCTTTGTAATACTTACTAAACACAAGCACTCTTCTTTTCGTTTTGAGTCAAGAGTTTTCATTTAGAAGCGATGGCTCAACTTCAAGCATAATTATCTACTACTCTAACTTTGGTTCATTAGCCTCAAGGCGAAGTAGATAGAATTTGTGTGTGTTTCTTTTTTGCATGCACAAATAAAACTGGCACGAAGATAAAATATGAAACAGAAATAAATTCCCCAATTCTTATCTCCCTTGAAATGAAAGGAGCACCTCAACTGGTTGTCAGACTTAGCAGAATGAAATGCCAGAGCAGCAGCCCTTAATCATCAAAATGTTTCAGCCTAAGTGTAGACCGCAGGGTTTGGCAGACTGAATTGTTCCCTGGCTGGGAGCTGGCGAAAGAAGAAAACTTTCCTTTAAAAAGCATTAAAATAGGCAACTAAGTAGGCTGTAGGTGTAAATACAAATAAGATTCTGCCAACATTGGAAGAGAAAACTTACAGCTCTTCAGAGTGTGTAAGTATTATGTTACAGATATTACTTGTAACTCATTCCTTTTTTGCTGTATGTATGTATGTATGTATGTATGTATGTATGTATGTATGTATGTATGTATGTATGTATGTATGTATGTATGTATGTATGTATGTATGTATGTATGTATGTATGTACGTACTCCCCTTGGGGACTCAAGGCAGCTCACAACAACTAAAACTATACAACAATCAATAATTTTAAAATACAATAGAAATAAATGAAAAACAATTAAGGTTACATCAAGATTAAAAACAAGATTAAAAAGAACTTTAAAATATGATCCTTTTTTAAAAAAAAATCTACATTTAACAGCATTTCAAGACAATTATTACTTAAAAGCCTGTTTGCAAAGAAGGGTGTGTTTGCAAAGTAATTTAATAATTGTTAACATGTCATAAGATCAAATCCACATGGCGGAGTGACCTCCCGTCGCTTGTCCTACCTCCTGCCAACCTAGCAGTTTGAAAGCATAGAGAAAATGCTCAGTCCAGTCGTGTCCAACTGTAGGGCATGGTGCTCATTGCCGTCTCCAAGCTGTAGAGCCAGTGTTTGTTGCCGTCTCCAAGCTTTAGAGCCAGCGTTTGTCCGAAGACAGTTTCCGTGGTCATGTGGCCAGCGCGACTAGACATGGAACGCCATTATCTTCCCACCATGGTGGTACCTATTTATCTACTTGCATTTACATGTTTTTGAACTGCTAGGTTGGCAGGAGCTGGGACAAAGCGACGGGAGCTCACTCCAACGCGTGGATTCGATCTTACGACTGCTGGTCTTCTGACTTTGCAGCACAGAGGCTTCTGCGGTTTAATCTGCAGCGCCACCACGTCCTGCTACCTTTATTAGACCCCTATAAAATCACAACAAATACTAGCTTTCAGCCTGGTTTGTTTGCAGCGCTACCACGTCCCACTACCTATATTAGACCCCTGTAAAATCATAAACAAATACTAGCTTTCAGCCTGGTTTGTTGCAGTGGCTGAAATCTTGCTTCTTAGTGTATTCAGTCAAAACTAGAGTAGGCCCATTGCATCCAAGGTGTGTGGGATTTGATGGGTTATTATCTACTCAGTTCAATAGGCATACTAAGAAACACGCTAGACTAAGCAACATTTCGGCTTTTGTTTATGCATTATATAGTGGATTTCTTATCTTTTTTGGGGGCTTAATTGTGAATGCTCTTTCATGATTTGGAAGATTAAGAAAACTGCAGGATTCCTCCCCCCACACCACTGATTTATGGAAAAAGCGGTCTGAATTCCACCCATCCCCTTGCACATTTTATGCTGTCAGTCTTCGTAGATGCCCAGAATAACCATTGGATGTTTTATCTTCAAAGGAAGCCTGGCGTAGACTTATTTCTCGAATTGGGATGCTCAGTCATATTTGTATTGCCTCTGAGTTTGTGGATAAAAGAATCTAATTATTCGCTAATGAGCATTAATGGTACATATAAACGGAGGGTCACTCTCCTATTACCGGCACCTGATGGTTTTGCTGATGAGCGTTTGACCGTTAGATTGACCATAAAATACAGTCAATAATTGAGGTGACTGAAAGAGCAGGCACCTTATCTGCTGTAAGCCTAGCAGGGACAGCTTGACAAGACTCAGGATACTGATTGAGGAGTGACTGAGCATACGATTAGGCCTTTCAGGCAGGGAGCCTCTAATGAAATGGTGGGGCGCGCATCGCAATATTAGCACAACGGCTAAATGGCTAGTGTGTTTTTCGTCTGTATCGCAGATGTTTGAGTGACTTCCAAGAAATTGTTCATTTGGCTCTTCGTTGTGAGCCAGCTTGGGCAGGGGGCAGGGAGCAGTCCCAAGGGGCCAGAATACCTGCAGTGCCCTTTAAGGATGGTGACTGCGCCAACCCAAGACTACCTGCTGCCTGAGGCACAACAGCAAATGGCACTGACAGTACCCACTCAAGTCAAAGTGCATAGAACCCAAAGTGGCAAAGCTGGCCAAACTGTTTTCATGCATGAGGCAAAAAATCTCATGGATCGTTGTAGTCATCGTCGTCGTCATCTTCTTCTTCTAAGAAGACAACTGCAGAGCCGGAAGGGATCATGTGGATCATTGAGTCTAGCCCTTGTCAAGGAAGGGGAAATGAACTTTCAACCCAACCACTGAGCTATCTAGGATATGTCCTATTAACCTCTGCCTATCATTGTCAGTGGTTAGAAAGTGGTGCTGGAGAAGACTCTTGAGAGCCCCCTGGACTGCAAAGAGAAGAAACGTATCCCTTCTGAAGGAAGTCAACCCTGAGTACTCACTGGAAGGACAGATCCTGAAGCTGAGGCTCCAATACTTTGGCCATCTCATGAGAAGAGAAGACTCTTTGGAAAAGACCCTGATGTTGGGAAAGTGTGAAGGCAAGAGGAGAAGGGGGGCGACAGAGGACGAGATGGATGGACAGTGTCATTGAAGCTACCAACATGAATTTGACCCAACTCCGGGAGGCAGTGGAAGATAGGAGGGCCTGGCGTGCTCTGGTCCATGGGGTCACGAAGAGTCAGAAATGACTTAACGGCTAAACAACATTCGCTGTCAGTCAGAATACAACACTAACAAATGAAATAACTCACAATGTGCTTCCTTTTCATGATCCTCTCTCCCCACATCCTCAGAGGCAGCAGGCCCAACTTCCCTTCCCGGAGCCCATGCACCCACCGCCCAGCTGAGAGGCTGGCACATATGCAGAGGCAGGGACCACCTTCGGCTTACTGTTTCTGTACATGTGCTGGCACATGCTTGAGTCAAGTGTATTGTTCTGAGTCTGCCTGAGGACAACACATGCCCTCTCTGGATGCTTCCAGGTGGAAGGGCATTGTACAGTGATTTAACCTCATTTAAAAAAAAGAGAAAAGAAAAGGAATCTAGGTGGCAGTGGAGGAACACTCACGTATAATTGTGATGTTCTTCTAGATTTCAACTGTTGAATCGCAAGTCTAGTGGAACTAATGAAGACATGTGCATATGACTGCTTCTGCATTTTCAGTTTTCTTTGTTGTTATACTAATCATTGACTACCTTCAATCATATCTGCGCTACTATATGGTGTTCAGAATATTTTTAGTGACTGAAGGGCTTCAGGTACATAATTTTAGTAATGTAGCCTTCAGTGGTCTCATAAGATATGCTAGTATGATTATAGGTTTAGGAGCATGTGCTTAATGGGGAGGCAGAAGCAGAGTCACTCATTAGCCTT